GAGAAATTATTTGTTTGATTCAGAGATTCCTCCAAACACAGAGCAGAAATGGGGTTCCAGAGATGAAGCAGTTCCTTTGCTGTCAGTCATATCAGCTGTATCTCTGTTATTCCTGACAGATATTTGTTGAACCTGTTCTCAAAGACTTCCAGTGACAGGTTCCTGCCTCTGCTCCCACTTTTCTCTCAGCTAAGAAACCCCTGCTGGCCTACTCTTTGTCTCCATGTGACGCCTTGCCAATGCCAAGCACTGATTAATAAATTGCTTTACCTGCTTACAGAGTTCAGAATGCTGTGAGCCATTTTTCTTTTTTTTGCAACAAGATGGTTTTGTTACATCATGTTCACTTTGTGATTCAGAAAACTTTTCAATACCCTATGTCCTCAGGCTGTTTTCAAAGTCCTGTAAACACAAATGTAAGAGTAGCTACCTCTTTAAGCTGTGGTTTGTATTGTAGAAAGTTCCCACTTAATATATTAAGGCAATATTAGCTTTTAACTGGGCACAGGCCCAAACTCCTAGAGCAGCATATAACGTGATTATGATATGATTTGGTATTCTGTAACACAGACAGGCATCTACAGGGCCTAAGGAAAATGGGAGAATGCTGTCGGTTAGTGAAATAATGTCTCCATCAGCAATAACGAAATGAAAATTGGGTTGTGCTTGAGCTGTGGTTTGGAACTGAATGTTAGTAAAGCTCCTTGAGATCTTCAGACAAATTTCTTGCTCCAGTTTCTCTTCCCTCCTTTGTTGTTCTGTACTAACCTGCCTCTACAAAGTGATGGCAATGTGAGATACTGTAATCAGACCTAACTCTCACTCGAAGCAGGTTGCAAGTGGATTCACTTGCATTTACAATGTGGGAGGAGAAAAGTAGACTGTGGCTGTAAAACACTGAGAACATTAAACAAAATCTTACCATCTCCATGCTTAACTTGAACTGCAAAGTACTTCCTACCATGAAAACTAATCAAGAGCTGGGCTTCTGACATTTTAAAATTGTGTGCTAATTGTCCTGCAGAGTTTTAACATTTTGTGCCTACTATACTCACTGTGGCAAAGTTCCTTTCGTCCAACTCAGTCTATGCTCTTGATCTTTAGTAGGACTTTTAGCTGAAAAAATGAGATAAACACCTTTGCAAAACCAAACAAAAATATAAGTTGCTTCACATGGTCTTGTAAGAGCAAAACACAGATTAGAGGAGGGAGAAAAGAATTTTAGAGTGATGAAGTGATTTTTTTGTCGCTTTCTTCCTTTTTGTATTTCAGCTGTTCTAAAACTGTGTGGAAGATCAGTTATCTGGACTGTAACAGTACAAAAGGTCTTTAACCTTTTTCTGTGTCTTCATCATAATTAGTGCGGTGAAAAAAAGCGCAGACTTATACAGAATGATTAATTAGTGTTTGACCTAAATACTTGTAGTAACTTATAAGAAAAATTCCCAGCCTCTCATGCCAGCATGTTTTAAAATGCTGATGAGGGTTGCTAAACAGAAAACTTTTCATATGGGAGGACAGAAGTAACTGTTCTCTACAATCATTTCTAAAGGACCCTTGAAACCTGAACAGCAGGAGAGGAAACACGTTTATGCAGAAAATACAAATGTTGGGGTCTTTCCACGGTTACAGCAATTCCTTTCAAGGTTGTCGCTGTCCCAGAGTTTATCTCCCTGTCACTGTCTATCAGAGATTCAGAAGCTGAGCACTGTCTCCTACCCACTGGACAGCTCTCCACAAAGCCCAGCCTTCCCCAACCTCTCAAGTCTACGAGGACACAAAGCAAATAAAGAATCCTAACCTTCCGCTCAGAATCCTTTGCTTACAGATTTCCCTTGTGGCTCTCCATGTTTGCCCTCCTCAGTGACACGTGGCCTCCCTCTGAAGCAGGTGTTAAACTCTCTCCAGGATATCTCAGCTTCCTCTCTCATCTCGTTGCTATGGTGTGACAGGGACGACCCTGCTCACAAACATTCTCTCTATTGACACAGGAGTTTGCTTGCTTCTTCTACAGAATTTTCCTGAAGAACTGGAAAACTAAGAACAAGATCCTTGATGCAGGTAACACGCTGCAGTGTAGCCAAGGCAGGATGTATTTCATGAGAACACAGCCATCCATGTGCAGACAGAGCACAGGCAAAACCCAAATCCTTAAGGTAACAACATTGAGGACTTGAAACCATACTTTTATTTCAAAACTCAAGTATGTGATACTATACAGTACAATACCAGCACACTTGTGCAAAATCTTACAATATTACAAATTTAAATATGATACACAAAAATAGTGCCCTTTTGAAATTCCTTTTACTAGAAACATTTGTGCTGTGCAGGAAAAACAATAAATGTGTCTTGTTAAAGCAGAAAAATAAATATTGCACCTCAAGAAAACTATTTCAGTGTTAATAGCATAAATAATAGCTCTGTTTCTTGTTATCTGATGTGATCTTTGAACACAGAAGAGGTTGTTGTTTGTTTTTTTTTCCAGATAAAGCAAACTAATATCCAACAAATAAAATGACATTTAGAATAGTTTTTGAGCTTAATCTAGATTCTTATTAAAAAAGGTGTTTTCATTAACTAACTGAAAAATATAAGCAAAACTATTTACTGTGCTGTTAGTCATTGTGGTTTGTTATTTTTAGTGGACAGTTTGCTCAAAGTAGTTATAAAAAGAAGAATTTTTTAAAAAATAAACTTTATCTTCATTTTTGCACCCTCATTAAAATCTCTTGCCTCCTTCAGTGTATTCCCCAAAACAAGTAAAAACTTTGTGGCACTTTGCTAGACATGCAAGTAGTTCAGTTCAAATCAGTACAACTACTTATGGGAATTGGCCCTGCTGCACTAATTCCACAAAAAGGCAGTGTGCTGAATTTCAGGGAAGGATGGAGACCTTGTTCACCCACTGACCAAAAAAGCTTTAGAACATGCTTAACATTAAGCAGTTTGAGAGTCCTGTTGATATCAATAAGTTTCTATGTGTACAAATAAGCTGTTGGGCCCACATCAGTGCAGATGCAAATAAAAGTGAATTAATTCGATTATAGGCACTGATAATTATTTTTCTTCAATGCAGCCCACCATGTCCACAATCACGTAATCAAATACGCTCCATGATTTCTGGCATAGAGAATTCTGAATATTCAGAACTATTTACCTTCAATTTTTAATGCCTTATTAAGCATGTTATTTGTAAAGAATATTAAGTTAAAGAAGCTGAATAAAGAAGTATTGAAAGAACAACTGACAAGTTTCTTCAAATACTGAAAGTATGTGAAATATCACAGTAGTTCTTCACAGTCAGATATTCTAACTGAACCAAACAGATTCCAAGTAATTTGCAAGAAACCTTCTTCTGTCTTATTCTTTACCAATTACAATTTTAGACCAAATGACACTTTCCCATTATCCTTTTTGAACTTCCTTAGGCAAACTATTCCTCAATAATATAGATTTTAAAATACAAACCCCCCCTTCTAACTGCTTGTAGACTCCCTCATTCCCCACCGCCCCTAAAAAAAAAGTGGTTATGGTTTGCTTTTTTTAATTTTTCATTTCTTTCTCTTTTTTATAAATGTCTCCTAAGAAACACGTGGCTAAAGATGTAACAAACAAAAATTCACTAGCAGGATATTTGTTACTAGTGCTAGACGTGAATTAAATTGCTGACTGACTTAGGAACCTGTTTTCTTTGAAAATTAGCTTGAGGTTCAGTGTTTACACCAAAAGAAAACAGGACAATATTATCTGTGTCTGAACTGAAATTACAGTACTTCATAACACAATGTTCCTTCAGTTGGTGAACAGACCTGCTTCTCAGTCAGAAAATGCCAGAAGAATGCAAGATACGAGTGCAATCAAGTGTCACACTGATTTTGATACTGTGGCTACAGCTGAGGAAAGACACAATTCACCTTCAGTCAGAAGTGACGTTCAGCAGGTACATGAGGTACACCCTCAGTGACAGCCATTCTGGTCTCAGCCCTAGGTGGTGGGGTTTTTACAGATAATGGCTTCACCATTTTGGAATTGCTTATCCAAGAATTTCAGGCTTTCACATTCTTGTGTAAGAACTCGCAACTCCCAGACAGGCAGAACTGCAAGAGATGAATCTCTCATGACCTGGCAGTTCAGCTTTGGAGGTGTATCAGATCATTTGGATACCTGGCATCAGGTTCTGAAAACAAACTACTAAAAACACACAGTGAGCTTTCTTAAGTCCTCACTGCTTCCCTGTCCTGATTCACGTAGGCACCGGTTGGGTTCTGGCTGTTGCAGAACTGTGTTCCTGCTGCAGATCTCAAAGAATATCTATCTCCAGTATTAGTAGTAGGGCAGAGTCCACTAAATGTGAACACCTGTATACTGAGGTTTGAAGAGTTCTTGTTTTCTTTGTTTCTTTTTTAATAAAGAATTCCCATTGCTGTATTTTGGGCTTGGGCAGCTCATCTAACCTTCCAGACAGCAACTACTTTTTGCTGTAACCAGTCCTGGCTCTGAGTGTCATACAGAAATTTCTGCAAAGATGTTCCTTTGATATATCAGAAGTTTCCAGATTTATTTGATGATGTCACATAGACCCCATTTTAGGTTCTGTTGAGTATCCCATATCAAAAAAAGTGGTGCTCCCACTCTTAAAGTATATCATAAAACACATTTATGTATGTATTTAGCATTCCATTTAAATAATCATACAGATAATTCCTCTTAAAATTACTCTATCAGCAAGGCATTTGGTCTAATAATATAATTAGATTCTTCGATAGAAGAACTTCTATTTCTACCCAATAATCATGAATAAGGAAATTAATTAGACTCTTAAACCCCAAAGGACTTAAATGCAATTAGTACTTCAACAATCAACAATAAATTCAGGAAATGCCAAGTAAAGCACTAACTGCAAATGCAGGTTTTATGACTTTCTTCAAAACATCAGTGTCCTGTGCAAATCATTCTTTTAAACATTTTGCTGGTTGCTCATTACTGCCACAACCTTATCATGATTCCACATTACTTTATTTGTATCAGTCAGTTACAACAAGAGGACTGACAGGATTATTCATCAGATTTTCATCTTGGCAAGATGTGTTCACCCTGCATCCCCAGACCTGGGGGTGTGGAGCAACTCACTTGTCTGACAGCTCAAGTGTGACAGCCGTAGGGGTGACTAAGCACTACCTTTAACAACAGTGGTCTAATATGCAAACTTGCTCAGGTACCAGAAATATGTGGTTGTTCCTTTATTATTCAGTGCGTTGCTCATGTCGAAATCCTGAGTTCCACCAGGAATACTGGTGGGCAGCAGAGCAGCTGGCCTTCCCTTCAGCTCCCTCGGACTTCTCGTCGCAGGAGTTGTAGGAATGGTAGATTCCCAACACCACAGCAAAAATGATGATTGCAGCCACTACAAGCCATACCACGTTCCAGTGTTTGCACAGTTTGGGGTACAGTATATATAAATAGTTAATGATGACTTCAAGTCTGCTGTAAAATTAAAAGAAAACTGTTATATACGCGAATTTATTATCTTAAGCTTTACAGTTTGAGAGGTTTCATAGATATATGGTGCACCATCTTTTTTTCCCAATACAAACACCTTGCCAAAGAAGAAACAGACTGCCAAGTTCTTCTAAGGAGAGCTGTACACTCAGATATTCCAACTCAAACTATTCCATGATATGATATAAGTAATATTTGCAAGACTATAAACTTGACTTCTATTTCTCCCACCTGTCTCAGAGCTTGATATGATGCAAAATCCTGCACTGTTCATAGCTTGATCAACTAAATTAAACATTAGAACATGTCATAAACATTTCTTTCTGCGAGTGTCATGACTAGCGAGATGGCTGCCCCCTGAACACGGCTGAAGTCTCAAATCAACAAATGTTTATAACCACAATGCTTATGGAGTGGAAACGAATTCTTTCTGGTCAAGTAAGGTTCCCTGCCTTAGCTTGGGATTGGACATACTACTTCCTTTGGCCAGCATTTCATTCTCCTCTAACTCAAAAGACTCGCTGCTTTTCGAATGCAGGAAGCGGCAGGTGAATGGAATTGGGTGGTAGAGCCACTGAGGGGACTCAATAATGAACTGTAAGAAAAATGGAACATATCAGGCGTGTTTTCCAGCTGGGCACCAGATGCTTCAGGGAAGACATGGAGCAGATGATTCAGAAGTCCCCAGGACAGACAGAGAGCACTGGGTACAGAAGGGTGCAATGAGCATGTCGCTCCAGTGACAGGCAGGAACTCCAGCCTGGTGCTGTCCTGCTGCACCCACTCAGCTCCCAGAGGCAGCCAGCACCTGCCTGTCCAGGTCAGAACAAGCCCAACATAGCTGAGGAGCTTGTCTTACTCTGCATTCAGCTTGTAGGTGACCCTTTGGGAATGACATACAGCACAAATTTGAGCATCGGATTCCTGAATTACAACCTCCATGAGACAATGCGTGTCTACAGAGAGATACATTCTGGCACCTAAAGAACTTTTCTGGAATGTTTTTTTGCCTCAAATCTGAACCAAACCCCATTAAGATGAAGCGTCTTGATGTCAACATACAATTTTAGCTGAAACAGCAAAATAAAAACTTGCATTTTGTAACTCCATTGTCTTGGAACATGCCTTTCTGTGAAAATACTGTTATTTGAAATGTGCTTCTGTAGACTTTTGGAAAACATGTCAAGGTGATAGTACAAAACACTTGGTTGGGTACCACAAATAGAACAGAGCGGCCCCTCTTTTATGGACATATTACCCCACTGTCTCACCTGCTTTTCAGGTTTTTAATCTCATCTTCATTTTCACTTTCTTCATGTTCATCATGACTTTCTTTGGGTGTCTCTTCATCTTCTTCCTTCAGTTCTTGAAGTTCTTTGGTTTTCTTCAAGCCTTCCTGATAGCTTCAACACACAAAACATTTATTTCTTAGTCTAGCATGCTGTATAAGCCTGACGTTATTTAATGAAAAATTAATTTTATGCTTTGATACATGCAATAAAACAGAAGTAGCAGTGTTGCAGCACTTAGACAAGAGTAAAAATTAGCTGAAGACTGTGAGTACAGTACACAGACAGCCTTAATAGAGGATTATATAAGGGCTGATACAAAATTTATGATCTTGAACGAGAAAAAGAGGTTATAGTCCTCAACAGAGAAAACCTTTTTTCTATTGTAAAGGAGTTGGTAAATATTTCTCTATTATTTTTCAATAATTTTGAACACCTTCCAGGTATTTCTTTTCTCCTGGAGAATGAATCAATGCTGAAGATAGATGGCATGCTGGATTCTGCAGGAGGGGATCAAAATTTTTGTCTCACTCTAAATCCTAGTACAGAGTTCTTTGCTTGGCATTCAGAAACAGATCCCAAAGTTGTTAATTGCCCCAAAACATGCTGTGTAAAGCACTTTGTGACACAAACAACATGACTACTGCAACAGCTGATACTTACTCTTTACTCGTTTCCATGTAGCCTTTTCAGAATAAATATTTCATAAGGCTGTTTTTGGATTATCCTGTCATGAAGCTGAGCACTATTGACATAAGAACACCCACCCAACTCAGAATCTCTGAAATAACTGCTCTCCCACAGTTTGCCTTTCATTAATAAAGGATGAAAATCAACAGGTACCATGCAAATACAATGAGTGAAGCTCACTCATGTTGTTTCCCACATTGTTCCAATTATTACTGTCTTCTAGGAGCACCTTTCAATTATGTCACTCATTTAAAATTGCATTTAAAAATAAATTTTAAAAACATATGCAGTAATCTGGTAGCACATATTTACAGATTCAGTTCACATAAAATATTCCCACCCTTTGTTATATGCTTCCTCTTCTATCTTGGCTTTAGTTTCAGGGCTGATCTCTTCCAACCCGCTCTGTGACAGCACAGAAGTAGAGGTTTCACAGTCATGCTCTCCATTAGACTTTCCACTGCCAAGACAAAAGAAAAGACAAATAGAAAATAATGCCACTGAAATCTACTGTATTTGGAGCACACTACAGTTTTGTGACTCGTGATTTGTCTTTTTTAATGTACGTTAGAGAAATGAAATGTCTTTCAAAAGAAAAACTAAACATCAAGAAAAATATTAGTTTCAAGATGTTGTAATTTAAGAACAGTAATTACTATGTTTCTAAGGTAATATGACTTGCACTTTGCTTCTTGTTTAAAAAAAAGAAAAAAACCCCTACATTTGTTTCCTGGTTCATCCATGGCATTTACTTGCTATTCTTGAAAACATTTCCATCAATTTTCTAAAAATCATCTTAGATATTGTAACCAGCTACATAAGGGGAAAAAAATAGAAATAATATCAAATACCAATTTAACAAAACATTGGTTTTATTTGCCTTTTAGGTACTCCCCTCTGCTGACTTTATATGCTGAACTGATGTACAGGTGAAAAAACCCACAAACACATACATTTCTTTAGTCACTAAAACTTTTATTAAGCAAAAGCTTTGAGCCTTTAGCCTAAAGTTAAGCCATTTTATATTGCTCTCTTCCTGCAGTGTTCTCCTATCTTTATTTATTTGATCTGGGACAAGGAGTTTAAGTGATTGAGACATAACAGCAAATCTATCAAAGTCCAGGTTTAATAAACTCAACAGTGGAACCCATTTCAACTTCTAGAATCCAACCTTTTTTGTAGGCCTTATTTTTTGGGCACTAAAATTGACGCCATCTGTGGGTGATGGATTTTCTCTTAAGAAAGAAGTCATATTAACAGGAGACATTATTTTCACTTGGACTTTAAACAAATAATGATTATAAGCTCAGTTTAGTTCTGAGATGCTGCTTGTAAACTTGACCATGAAAAGAAAAATATGATGGTGACATGATAAAATACAGTTACCAGATCATGAATCAACCTAAGCTGACGCTGTGTCACTGATTTCAATACCTCATGTCTTGGTTTAGGAACGACAGAAATGATCCAATTATCACTTCATACTAGGATTTAATAGGTAAGAAGATGACCTAGACAACTCACTTTTCTAGAAGTGCTGGCAGAGCAGGACTAGATGTTAGGCTGCTCCTTCCATTACTAGGTGATTCAGACTGTAAGTAAAACACAGCAACAAATGTTGTATCCATTAATAAATTTCAAATGAGTGTTCAATAAAGTGACAAAGTCAATGTATTCTTCCCACACTCACGAGCAAAGTATCTTTAATATGGAGCTTCCAAATTTACCACAGTAAACAGGGGACTTGCACACTAAGAATTTTCTCCAAAATACATTGATCACTGAATAGTATAATTACTTTATTTTATCTCTCCTATTATCTGAAGAACATTAATAGCTGAGTTTTCTAACGGAAATTTTAAACAAAACCAAATCATAATAAACCATGGCAAACAAACATACTTAGTTCCTGAAACAATTGACTCTGAGGACATAATAAGTAAATTGCACAAACAGATGCTTTTCTTAAAGCTAAAATGGATTTAGCTTCTCAGCAAACTCCCTCATTTAAATAAACCTACATTTTTAACATTTTTACCTGCATAACTTTCAGGTTATGTCCCATCATAGCTCATCTCTGAACAGTTAGAATGCCTTGCAGTTTTCCTCCAAAGCATTTATATGGATTCATTATGTTCAGATTAGATTATCATTTGATTTATTAAAGTTTTATAAATAAACAGCCAACACAGAGGCTGATGACTTCACTAATCCCAGATCATCACAGAACTTCTACATTTGTACCACATACATTTCTGTACATTGATTACACGTGTTTCTGTTTAGTGTTCTGTGGTTTCTAGTTAAAACTCCTCTCCTACATTGGACACCTATTTTCACAACTTTTTTCCTGTATGTTACTACAGATGAAAAGGTAAATTCCCTCACTAATGTGCAATGCCTCTGAATCACCAGCCCTCCCTGTTGAGCAGTTTCTAAAGTGATCATTTAAGGAGGTAGATTCTGAAGGCACATGTCCCTTCCAAATAGGAATCACCTCTGTCCACCCCCTTCACTAGGATGGAGTCAAAACAAGTTAAACCAATAAAAGGGCTTCCATTTTTTAGTAACTGTGGCTTGGCTGTATGTAAAAGTAATTTAGACAAAAAATAGTACCTATAAAATATGGGGTTTACTTACCAGGGATGGCATTGAAGGTATAGGTGAAGCTGTTGGTGACTGACCAGGAATGTTCAAGGAGTTAAACTTAGGAACAACCGCAACACTGACTCTCCTCCGGGGCATATTCTGTGAGGAACAACAATTTATGGTTTTTTCTATCACACAGCAAGACAGACTGAAGAACAATTCTGTAGGTTAACAGGTGTGGAAAAGATGTAGGTTAATGTCTCTTGGGGAAAAGGAGAGTTGGGAACAAAATTAAGATAAATGGAGGCTAGGTTGTGGTTTTCCCCAGAAATTCCTTTAGTGTGATTTGCTGTGGCAAGTGCTTAGTGTGAAATGAGTGTGGTTCAGGGATGCTGCTCTTTTCCCTCCATACTGAAAGCACAGTAGAGTAAGTCACACAACAGATGTGGTCTGAGCTGATATTGTCAGCTCTTATTATATATGCTATTATCTTTGAATAAATCAGATATATAATGATACTGGGGAAGGTGCTGGTGTCACAATGACTGGAAAACAGTGAAGGTGCACATGAAACTCTTATCTTGCCATGTACCCATTCTGATATCCTGTACCTACTATGATATATTAATTACATCTAAACCTACTAATTATAACTTACATAACCAACAACACCCACTCCTTCCACAGGAATGTCCTGTGAACATCCCCTTCTCCCCCACCCTTGAGTTGTTAGATACCACCATGTGACATTGCTTACATTTCCCAAGGATCATGAGCATTTTTCACATGACAAACACCTGCAAGCTGTACACAATATATTCGAGCTCAAGTACAGATCACTTAAGTTTTTGCTGTCATTTGGTAAGTAGCTAAATGCTTCAGCCTATAAAATCTATGTAAAATCTGTGCTTCCAAACGACTAAAAACATCAAACACTTACAGCATCTAACAGCTTTGTTTCAGTGCAAATCCAAACAATTCTGGTCTAGACAACTTTACAGGAAAGGAGTTAAATATAGATTTAGTAAATACATAGGAGGAGTCACCTACTCCATGATCCTGGTTCTAGACTAAACCAACTGTACCTATTCATTAATGACAATTTTATTTAATTTACTGCCACAAAACTACACAGGGGAGTCTTCAGCCATCTTAGGCAGACCATTTTAATGTTTTGGGTTTTTCTCCCCCCTCTTTATTACTTGGACTTGCCTTTCTTAAATTTAATCTTTTTTTGGGACCTCTGTTTCAACTTATCTGGTTCTCATTCTGAAATCCAGTGTTGCCCTTAGCAGGCTCTGTGCTCTAATTCTTCATATACAACACTCAGAGGTGGCAGGAACAAATTAAATCTAAGGAACTACAACCTAAACAAATAAAAATATGAAAACAAACAGTAGACTGAGTATAATGCCTCTGACCACCAAATTTCCTAATGGCCTCACTGGGACTCATATCTCTCAAATCACTGGTTGTTTTAGAAAGTTTTGTAATAAACTTTATCTCCAACACTTGGAATTTTTGCAGAAATGAAACACTGGACATGTTGAAGCTACTAATGGGTCAAGCAAAAACAATCTGAGATGGTCTCTCACTCTGAATACTTTGTCAAATCAAACAAGATACTTTGATGCTAACTGAAAAATGAGCCCCACTTACAAAATAACTGCTCCCACCTAAGGTGCTCTGACCATGATGAAATTCTTAAGATAATGAAAATGTTGTGATCATGGAATCCTGAACCATATGGTAAGTTTTGATCCCATGTTCAGTTTCCTCACTGAGGAACCAGAACAAAGCACAGGACCTAAGCCATTCTCTGAAGCACAGGTAGAAAAAGACATTTCACTACACTGAATGCTCATTTTTTTTTTAATATTGTAGAATTACCTTTCCAACAGTAAGAGACATGGATCTAGATGAACGAGGCACTCCATCTTCTACATAGAAAAAGATAAAAAACAGCCTTAAATAGAGCCTTTGCTTGTATTTCAAACTCAGATACAGTATATTTATACAAGGTCTGTAGTGACCACATATTTATCTGTCATGTGGTTCTGATCTCAGCTTCACCTGCAGAAGAAATTTGAAATAATTGCAAAAATCAAACCATTAGTTATCTTTACTGAGACCAGGCAAAAGGCCACTATCTACCTCCACATACAGATACTTGCAAAATAAGATACTCATATTTCAGTTTCCAGCACAGGAAAGGCAAGGTTGCAAAAAAAAAAAAAAAAAAGTTTTGAATAATGAAATTTTGCCATTGTCCATCACCTAAAAGGCAGCTGCATTAAAATTGCACAGGCTATGTGCATGTGAAAGAGGCCAATGAAAATGTCATTGAATCTCATCAGAATCTGGTAAGTGAAAGTGATTTCAAATTACTGTACTATAGCATCAAGTATGGTTCACGTGAAACATTTGAACTTATTTCTACAACTTTTTTAAATCTAGTCCTGTACATCAGAACTTCATGAATAGGTTTCATGGTACTTCACTTATAATCATCAAGAGCACCAACATCTCCCTGTATAGAGGTAAGACAAACCCTTAAATTGTAATTTTTTTTACCAGATGCACCATAGCTTCTGCTAGAATTCTGATTGGCAAGTTTCTTGAACTCCATTAGTTCAGCATGATCCTTTTCATATGTTCTTTTCAGATTTTCCACATACTGCATCATTACTTCTGTTGCCTTTGACATGCGTTTCTCCTGAGGAAGAAAAGAAAGAAACACCCAGTTAAACTCTACGTGCCTCTAACAAATCATTTGCCTTTATATCTATGCTCCCTGTCAGGGCTAAATCTGGAATAGCTGTTCTTTAAGAAATATTGGTACCTCCACAACTGAAAATTCCTAAGCTAGTTAAAAGACAAATGCACACGCATTCATACATATTTCACAGAGTATCATAATTTATGTTGACATGTATTTATACAGCCTGCCTGTGTGCCCATCTGACTAGTTATATGGCATGCTAGATTGGTTTTCAAACCCTCAAGGGTCTTAGTCACTGGCATCAGTCTGGTTGCTTAAAAGGGAACAGTCTTGAACCTGGGAGGATATTGCTGTGTTCTCATTTATACTTGCTCTGTTCTTATACTCTTTATAGTTGTCTGACTGAGCCACTGCCAAAGGCAGGTGACTGAACTAGATGAGCTTTTTGACCCAGAAAGGTTTTCTTACTAGTGCTGCACTGATTTGAGGTAAGTTTCATGTGATGCAGCTGTAATTCTGAATAATGCATTCAGAATAATGTTCCTATTGTACAGATGTTGAATAGCTTAATGGGGAACCTTTTCCTGTTTGAATCTTATTTCCAGACTGAAATGGTGTCTTATCTGATGCTGCAATAAACGTCTTTAATCTGTCAAATAAAACTCAAAGGGCGAGTGTAACCTCTAGCTATGGCTGAAAAAGAGAGAGAGGGAACAAGTGCAGGCAGGATACAGGTTAAACACCAGGATGTTCCCACCTGGCGAACGGCTCCGACCATCTCTGCGCGACTCGACAGCCTGGCAGCCAAACGCCGCAGGACAGCGATGTCCTCCAGCAGCTTCTGGTAAGCTTCCCTGTGCTCATAGTGGTGCCACAGGTGAGCTGAGGACTGGAGGGGAAATACATAAGATTTATCATCATGTCTTGCCACTTCTAGTTTTCAAATGAAGTAGCCAGAGCCACAAAAAGGGGTAAAGATGCCTAGGAAGAACCAGCCACGGACAGAGTGGCCCCAGAGGAGTGTCAGTGCTACCACTACAGAAGACCCAGAGAGTGCTGCTGCTGTTTCAGGAGTTAAAGAGTGTTCAGCACATTTGCAACACTCTCCCTCCTGAAATTTGTCATGAATCGTGCCTCACTGCCTGTGCACTTTACAGATGACAAGTTTATTTGAACTAGCACTTAAAAAATCATTCCTGAAGCACAAACATTTTAATTCCCTGGGCACAGGGTGTTAAGAAGGACATGCATCTCCTTTCAGTGTCATGATACTCCACTTTCGTTTGGAACATGAGACATTATAGTCTCAAGAATTCCAGATGTAAAAGAATAATTAAAAAAATAACATAGCCTGTAAATCAAATGGCAATTGCAATTTCTGAACCTCTTTTTGTCAGTCAATAGGCACATCTATTCACTGGATTAATATTGTCACTTTGACAGCACAGATTAACACTGGAAAGCATCAAAGCATATAAATTCCTTGGGATTGGTTCCCAAAAGCAAGAATGCATTAGATGTTTCTTTAGCCAAAGCCTTAGAGAATATCTCTTCACTGAATACATTTTCTGTTCACAGAGAAATTTGTCACGAGACAACCCTATACAATTTAGTCCAATCTTATAGGCAGACTTTGTCATGCTGCATGATTTCTATATTCTAAAAGAGCATTTTTAGGGTGGACCAGTTTTGGCAATGAGGTTAAGTAATTAATCACTGTGCTGCTGTCCACACATTTTCCCTCTGTCCAGCTGCAATGTGCCCTAGTTCTCTGCAACCCCTCACTTGCATTGCCGCAAGAGTAAGTCAAGGAGTTGAAATGATGTGAGAAAAGAATAACCTCTGCTCCTCTTTTTCTCCCCCACCCCAAAAGAAAGGAGTGATGTGCGGTAACTTTTGAGTAGAGTTGTTTCAGAAATCACATTTGTAGTGCGAACCTTTGGTGTAGAAACACAGCCAAGAGACTGATGAATCTGGCACAACAACAACAACAATTGCAGCCACAAAAATTTTTTTACACTTATTTATCATGGAAGCTACTTTGATAATAAATTGCAACCAAAATTTGACTGCAAGAACCAAGAAGGCATAAGGGAAGAATCTGTCTGGGAAAAATCATGCACAGAATTTCAGATTTTCCATTTTTTTCCTTGGCAGCTGTAACCTGCTTATTTTCTTGAACAAATTGAAGTTCATGTAGATCAGCTTTCTCTGGAAGTTAGGTTTTTGAATAACAAACATCAATTATCATCAGATTGTTTAAAAGAATCAGAAAGACTGGTAAAACTGTCATTGAGCCATATAACGTATGCCTGCCCTACAGAAATGAAGATAACCTCTCAATGAGGTTGGAACAAGTCTGGGTCTAATATGATAGAGATTATAGAGAAATGATCACTAAATTTAATTGCTTGTAGTTTATTCCATTGTATAGAACAAAAGCTTTCATAGGAATGGCAGTTTCCACTTGGTTATAAATTACATAAAAAAGCTTGTAAAAGCCAGACTGTAGTGTGTGAACTGCACAGAGGAAGAAAAAGCTAATCACATCTGCCTCATGCTGGCAATGTGGTCCTTGGTGCCTAGTTAGGGATTCTTAAGAGAAATACACGGCAAACCTAACAGACATTTTTTCAGCCTGAAAATCCTGAGATTTAATGGGTTGTTTTTGCTTGCTCTTTACATAGAGAACAGAGGGAAGAGCAGCAAAGCATTCAAAACATTTGGTTTTTGTTTTCCAGAAACAATTAATCTGGAAATGCAGATTTGAAATTACAGATGAAAAGATGTAAGTATCTTTTTGATAGTATGCTTTCTTACCTGATGACATTCTTGATAAAGTAAATGGGAGAAATGTATGTTTTCCACACTATTTCTCATAAGAATGGCAGCACCTCCTTGTGCAAACTGGGTCTACATCTTTCATTTAACAGCATGGCATCTAATCATCCCTTCCCTTTTCTGCACAGAAACATGTGCAGCACATAGGTTGATACATCTCAGAGATATATTTGTCATTTCAGTTAGAAAATGCAGAGAAAGCTGGCAGGAAGGGCTGAAAACTGCTGCTATAAAGGAACATCAGGGATAGCTGGAATAGAAGTGTATTCAGGCCCAAAACCTGATCCTGAGGGTGCATGTATTCCCTAAGTAATCCTCGCTGTTTCCTTTCCTGTACCACCTTCTTGTATCTGCATCTTTCAAGTTGCAAATGTCAGGACTCAGGTTTCAGACCATTTCAGAACTGACCAGCAAATTAATAGTATTTATTCCTGAAATCTGCCAGATGTAGGGCAACATCCCCTATGCCTTTCCAGCAATGGTGGCCTACTGTGGCAGAAAACGCTCTCTGGTAGGCAGCTCACGGTAAGGAGCTCAAGCAGCAGAAAATGAAGTTTTGGGGCTGAATTTACAGTACATGTAAGAAAGAACAGTCATGCATATTTCCAATGTGTGTGCACTTTCATGGACACTACAGTTCAGGAAAGGAATTCCTGTTGTTTTCTTACCGTAATGGCTGCTTTAAAGTTTTCCAGTTCCTTCTCAGCATTCTCTTCTGTAAGATTTCTCTCTCTCTCTGCTTGGCTAATTCTAGATTCCAACGTGTAACTATCATTTCTAAAGGCCAAGGAAAGTTGTACAAATACATTCTGTTTGGATTAAAAAAAGGCATTTTTTCAATAAGTCTCACAGCAATGTAATTTCCAAAAACAATTTATGAATAGTACGTGTTTAACAAACTTCAGTGCTTAAATAAGTATTGAAACGGAAAACTGAAGATATTTTTGAAAATTATTTTGTTTCAAAAATCACTTCTATTTACTTCCACTAAATTCTTTTCCTGAATGTTTTTCTGGGAGCTCAGTAGAGCAGAGACACAATGAAGGAAGTAGCCTTCCAGAAGCACCAGAATCACAATGGATCTGTTTTCTAGCTGGACTTCCTCCAAGGGTCCCCAAGGTTTTTAAACAGATAGTCTGTGCAGAGGAAGTCCAGAGATGAGCTCAGCATTAGCATTGTTTTACCTAAGGGATAAACACCTACCACTGAAGCCAGCGAAAGATTAAGTGCTAACGTTTTTATTCTCTTGCACCCTGCTTTTAAAGATTGTTTCTTTCTTCACCAGACACGTCATTTCTTAGGATTAATACTTTGCAAAGCACAAGGCACCAACTGTTCCCTGTATCTATGTAAATAAAGATAATTTTCTTGACTGGTATGTGAAAAAGAAAAAAAGAAACAAAGCCTGCAAGCTAAAGAGCAACCTGCAAACAAAATTATTGGCTTGAACTGAGAAAGTAAAAACTATATAAACTAACAGCAAGATATTATTAAAACCTGTCCCAAAGCTCCTATTGCCCAATAAAAATGCAGTTTAACTTGTTTAGTTTCTGCTTTCATTTAATCTCATTTTTTTCACTGCTTTAGGTATATAATAATTTGCAAAATGAATGTCTATTTTATTACGAAAAACGCACATACAAATGTTTTGCTTATTCCTACTGTCTTTTTACAGTTCATGTTGCTCTTCTTTCACAAAGTCGTTCTGTTGATTGAGGTCAAAATGTTTTTTTCTGAGAAATATTTTTTTGGGAAAAAGAATCATCCCATTACCTTGTTCTAATAACCACCCTTAGACTTACAGTAACCATTTAAAATTGAAGCATATGCCCAAAATAATTCGTTTAGGAACATCCTTACCTCAACTTCTTTTTCAGTAAGTGGAGGGGAGCTAGAAATAAAAGCAAACAAATCACGTTTTAATGTGTTTTGTCTCTAAAATCAAAGCTATTCTAATATTTGATTGAAAAGAACAATGTAACTTATACTTGAGGTTTATGAGTTTCCCACTACATTTCAGTACTGATTACAATCAAGCAGTGCTCTCTCTGAACTTCTTCACCTCGTGCATTCATTTCTATAAAATATTGTATATAACAGTTCCTTCATGACAAATATTAAATATTTATTTCATTGGCACAGAGGACACTTATTGACTGCTTCAAATGACTGAAGGCCTCTGGCGTTTTTGGAACAAAAACACTTGGGTGAATGTAGGAATTAGTTTTGGCCAAATATTTTTTGAATTGTTTTAATGTCTTGCAAAGCCCAAATCAGTGAATTTGCAAGTGAGTCTTTCAACTACATTTGCAAAATAAACTCAATTTCCCCAAAAAATTGCCACCTGCAGAAAAATTGCAGAATTCTTACCTGCCCCAATTCTACCACGGGTAAGCATTATCTGCCCTGATTATTTTTCTGGGGGAGAGAAATACTAATGCTTTCAACATGAATTTATATCTGCAGCAGCAATCCCAGAACCAGGAGTGGAAAAATCCGTATTAAAATCTACTTGTAACACGAAATTTAGGTTTCAGACTTTTTATGTAGAGTTTACAAACTGATTTTAAAAGTTGGCTGGTTACTGGAAGTTGGTGCACTCTTCAAAATTTTTCAGAAAATCCGTGTTGCCCATTTTAAGATGCAGAGATTTATCTACTTGTATGGACCTCCATGAATGGAACTCCATAAAGGGAGTTCACTGGAACCCAGCAGTGTTCCTTCTCCTGGATGATCTTTCCACTTCTAATGAGCTTTTACCTTCCTGGAAGTGATTTGTGCACTCGGAGTTTTCGCAGCAATACATCGGGAATGCTGGGCATGACATCAGAGCTATTCTTTGGCTCTTCCTCTTCAGTGGGGGAAGGGAGAGGTGAAGGGCCTGAAGACATTTTCAGATTTAAAAAAAAAATTATGTTATTTGAAAAGTCATGCATTAACTATTAAAAGTCAGCATCTCAGAGGCAAATAGGACCTCTTAGCTTAACTATGTCCTTTTTAAAATCGGTGAGGCTTCCACCCAACTCCACTGGGAGAAAAGTGAACAAAAAGTAAAGGTCCATCCCTTCATGCAGAATGTTACTGCCTCTATTGCATGTGGTGATACATCACTCATCCCTCCTTTACTGCTAAAGATTCCCTGTCTTCCTCTTGAGCAGTGACAACAAAAGTAATCTGCAAAATCGTCATTGAAAAACTGAAGTAATATGTGCTCTGACAGTCTCTAATGCACTGAAAAATCATTTTTGTATTAGTATTTTTCCTAGAGTTCAAACTGAATGCAGATTCAGCACTTGAACTTCTAACCTAATGTTTTGCATTCATGCTTTACATCATTCCTGGAATATTTTACATGAGATTTTCTAGGAGAATACTGTCATTTTCTGAGACTTTAAATGCCACCTACCAAGATAAAGTCTAGTATAATGTACTATACTAGAGATTTTGTGCACCATTTATGGTAATGAATTACATTCAGTACAATGAACATGTACTTCCATGTTCATTGAAACAAGACATAAAGGTTATCCTTACTTTCTCTACTTCTATCACTTTCATAAGGACCAAGATATGGCTGAAACTTTTTTTTTTAATTCATATTACTTAGCTTTTGTATTTTAATTTTATTTAAGTTCATATATAATGATTCCCTTCTCTCCTCTTATCTTGCCAGAATTTACTAAAGGACCTTCCTTCAGTAGGAAAGGCAGGTTTCCCAGTTTAAATCTCAGACTTGGGAAGGTAACTTTGTACATGTCTGCTTTTCATTAGGAGTAACAGAAAGATTCTTAGACTTGCAAAACAAATAGTGTGAAAAAGCTCACATTTTATAAATGTGGAGAGCATTAACATGAAAGTCAGAGCAAAATGGGAGATTCTTTCTAGCTACATTTTAGTTACATGCATTTCCTTTATATTAAAAAACTCCAGTATTGTCTTAAATCATGTGTTTCCCCATGAAATGCAGCCTGATACCACAATGTCTCCAGATGTAATTTATTGCACTTATCTAAACTTCTGGAGACGCAAAGTTGTGTTTACTCAGATGATCACAATAACTCATTATTGATAGAAAACATCATGGAGACAGTATATTGGATTAATAACAGTAATAATAAAGTATCTGGCTTTTTCCTACTCTTTAAGCAGAATTACTACTCCAGCTAAAAAAACATATGGTGGCTTTTATGACGATGTAAGGAAGTCTCCTTAAAAAATAAACTAAGGATTTGACCCCTCGCTTGTTTTCCCCACTGAGGACAAAGAGTTGACCCTTAATGTTCTAGCTATCATTTAGATAAGTTACTGGACTCTAAAAAAACTTGTGATGCTCATGAGATCTTGGCTGGAAAGCTGGATAAAATAATGCTTAGCTTTTCATAATGTTTTGCTCACAACTTTCAAACCTGAAAAAATTATCCAACGGGTTGGTAAAATGGCAACTTTTTTACATTTTCAAACAGAGCCTGCTAAATAATTTCCAGGAAATTACATATTAGCAGAGTGACAGGAATAATATTATCACCTCTAAGAATTCAAAGCTATAATCACTAAATATAGAGGAGAAGAAGTGTCTTTTAATCTTGTTTCATTCAGATTGAAGATGAGTCTCTTTCCAGAGGTAACATGAAATGCCTCAACTATCTCTCAGTGTAACAGAAACTTAAGGCCTTATGAAATAGTCCCAAAGCAGATCTAAGAATTAGCAAAATGAACAGCATTAAGAAAAATAGAGATTGTCTCTGGATCACATTTTGGACAATCAGTTTCAGTTAATGTGGCCTTAAAAACACTCTGAACAAGACCTGACTTTACTACTTTCAAACAAATACACAGTTTTGGTGCAAATATTTTCATTTGATAGCTCAGCACTATTGCTATTTAATTCTTCCACATGTTGAACTGTCCTCAGGTTTATATCTTTGCTCTTTATTTTTATCCTGAATCTTTTTAGATGCATCAAATCTCTTGTGCTTGTATTAGTTTGGAAAAAAACCATTTGGTGCCGGATTTCTTTTTCCTCATTTGTGTAGAGTTTTAAGCCTTTTCCTTAAAAAAACATTTCCTTTATTTTTCCTTAAATATCATAGAAATTGAGCTTAAAAAATCCCCCTTAGGCAAGGCAAATTTTTCCAATCCTTCAGTCACATTTATGACTCTTCTGTGGCCTTACTCTTTCTAATAACATTGACATAGAAATGTGTACCAGAAGTGAAAATGCCATTTCAATGCTTGCCACACGTATACCAAAATAAAAAAGCAGGAATAAAGCATTCCATCTCCTGTTTATACTCCCAAGGATTAAATTCACCCTTCTGACCACAATATATTGCAGGGGTCACATTCATTCAATCCATCACTGCTGAAGAGTTTTTACAGAAAGTCACTGAAACTCAAGGCAGTCCTCCAGCTATTATGCCCAAAATAGACTCAGTTCCACATGTGTATCTTTTCACTTGGTTGTAATAATACCCACAACATCTTCTTGGCTCAGGTCGTCAAGAAATTCAGATAGTTTGATTATTGGTCTCTCTTAATCACCATTTATTACCTTTCTCTGTGACTGCTTCAGCTACTGTTGCAACTGAACAAAAAGACTTTTCCTCCCACCCCCCCAACAGTCAGTTATAAGAATCAGTGTATAACAAACGCTCCTTTCAGCTTTTATGATACTGCACCTTTTTCCTGTTCAGCTGCTTCACTAAGTTCAGGAAGTTTAAGTCCAACTAAATTTTGATTTCTCATCAGAATATGCTCCTGTTAAGAAAAATAGTAACATATCTAAGTAACTGAACTAGAAATCACAGTTTAAATATCCCTTCCATGTGAACAGGGAATATAACATTTACTTTAGTTAATAAACATAATGCAGATTATCTATATTAACTTATAGTCAGGTGCTACATAGCACAGATACACAGACATTCACACACACTTTACATTATTACATATTTCACATTTCATGCAGGCATTATTTAGAAAAAATCCTGGTCATGCAAACAGAGATTTGCAAAAAGTGCCCTTTACTCAATTAGAAATACAGAGTTTTGAAAAAGAGAGTTTTAGTAATTGGGAGTGAAAAAAGCAATTTTGGACATAGCTCCGTTAACTAATAAGCATCCCAGAAAACAGAGAAAATTCAGAAAATCATATATATATGAGACTTGGCCACTTTGACTTGATTAAGATCTTGGGATGCTACAGCTGCAAGTTGATGCTTCACTGTCACTGTGTTCTGCCCCTACTCCTTACAGGTAGGGAAGAATGCTCTCCAGAATTAAACCTTGTTGTGTTATTTCTCCTTTTGTCGTCTCTTTCATATTCTCACGTTTTTTAAAATTCACAAACATCTGCTTTTGTTTGTGAGTAGACAACTCCTACTGGAAGCAAAGTTCAAAGCTCACCTAACTGGAATTACATATCATGTTGTATTGATTTTTTAATTCTGTTATTTGTGCTTAGCAACTTCTGGGCCATTCAGAACTAGAGAATCTTAGACTCATAGAATGGTTTGGTTTGGAAGGGATCTTAAAAATCATTGAGATCAAAACCCCCTGCCCTGACCAGGGACATCTTCCACTGGGCCAAGTTGCTCAAAGCCCCATCCAACCTGTTCTTGAGCACTTCCAGGAATGGAGCATCCTCAGCTTCTCTGGGCAACCTGTTCCAGTGCCTCACCACCCTCACAGTGAAGACTTTCTTCCATCATTATATTGCTCAAATGTCTCTATAATCAAAACTTACAGTATGTGTACACTAAGAATATGTTTGTTATATAAACAGGAAAAGATGAGTAACTGAGCTGCCATTCCCAATACAATGAGAATGAATTAACCAAAGTGCAGAATCTGAGGTCCTCACCTGTCAGCCCTTTGTTCATATTAAAATATTGACTACTGGGGATCGAAGAAAATATTCTTATTAAGCTGTTCAAAAAAGTACCTACTGCTACTCTGTTACTTTTTTTTTTCTTTCAAAGGTCATTTCTGTAACAGAGACATGGTAGTTGCTTTCTTATGTCATTTCATGACATTTCTGCCTTTTTTCTTAGGGTTTAATTCTTAACTTTTACTAATCATTTAGACAATTATTTAACAATTAGTTTATAGATACCACAGTGTCCAAGTCTATTCTTCTGGATTCTGACATATTTGCACCATGTTAGAATTAGGAACTGTGAATCTGGACATTCTCTACCTGCCCTTGCTCTCAGAGACCCCCAGTTTTACAGCTCTGGACACTTTGAGACATTTTCTGAGAATGTTCAATAAGCAAATAATCATACCAAAACCATTTACTGTCCCCTCAGACCTGCAATTGTCATGTTATTGCAAAGGCTGGTATTCCTGAATGACAGGACTACTGCCTTCAGAAGGGAGAGTACCAACCAACACAGGACTCAAAGACACTCAGCTGAACAAGGTAAAAGTGAATTTTAAATCCTAATGACGTTTACAAACAATATATGATACACAAAGGCTTGTAAGCCCTTATACAAGAGTACAGTAACTCCAAACTTCAGTAACAGATTTCTGTTTATGCAGAAGTCTCAGCCCACTCATACAGAAATGAAACAATTAGTCACTATATTGTGAGAGCCTGTGGATCTGAGGACAATTCTGAAAAAGCAGAAAAAGCTTATCATGGGGAAGCAAAAGAAGAAAAAAAGCACAAGTGACTCTTTTAAAGAGAATGTTGCTACGTCCTGAGGGAGGAACTTCAGGTCTAAAATTCTCTTCAGAAATAAAATTAGGTCAATTTAGGTCCCATGTACGTTTTACAAATAAAATGATTGTTAATCAGTTGCTTTCTCTTTATAGGTCATGTAAATGATGCAAAAAATGAGCTATACTGTGTTTCAGACTCACCTTTTTGTCAGAATGAAAGCAATTAGTACATTCTTGACACCAGTATGACAATGTGCCAGAGCACATGCACGTGCATACATGCATATTGAAGATACCACAGAGCACTTGATGCATGTTGAATATAATAATTCCACGGAATTACTTACAGGTTACAATTTACTAACATTGCAAAGGAAAAACATGATACAATTCCGTGTTGATTTTGCTGAAACTGTTTCCTACTATATCACTGTATGTATCTTGCAATGATAAAAATAATGCTAAGCAAGTTGGAAGTTTAGCAAGATAGGAAAACAACTTTAAAACAGGATACAGGGGGTTAGGACTCACCTCTCTGAGCTTTGTCAACTTCTGCATTCGAACTGGTTGAACTTGGATTTGAAGGTCTTTGAATGCTTTTAACTGATTGCTGGATTTATTACCAGCAAAGCTTTTATCTTCCTCAGATGGTAATTTTGAAGGTGTTTTCTCTTTCTGCCCAGGCTCCAAGCTGTCCCATGACACAGCCCGTAGTAGAGGAGGACGCAGTCCACACAGTTTAAATTCTGGTTTACATGAAACTTTATGGTCCCTCATTTCTGGAACAGGCATTTTTAGCTTTGAGTCCATACTTCCTATCCCTGGTCCTGGTAGATGGGTTCTTAAAGGAACATCATTTTCTTTTCCTTTCTTGAGGAATGATTTTCCAAGTTCATTTTCACAAACATTCACGCAAGTATTAAGAGACATTCTGCCACCATCACCACCTGAAGGGGAGCATTTAGGCAAAGTATCCATATGTTTACGTGGATCAAAGTTTTCTTTTTGGTCAGAGAGCTTCTCTTTGGAGTTTTCAAAACCAGCAGAACGAGGAACCAACCTTCCCTGAGAAATCTTTCTTTGATCATTCTGCCTTCGATCAATTAATCCTTTTGCAGCATTCTGAAAGTAGAGGGACACACATAAAACAAAGAAACAAATCCAGATTCCTCTGTTCTCCTGCCCAAGGACAGATTTTCACTGTAAAAAGCCATTTCCTTTTCAGTGACATTTGCTTTTAAACATGTGCTGTTGACAAAAGAAATAATTTTTAAAAGGCATTTAAAGAATACTGAATTGGGAATCTCCTCTCTGAACTTTTGAGTTAACCTCTCCCATTCCAGAGTCCATTACAGCAATGCTCACACAGCCAAGTTCCTCATCATTTTAATGTAAGGTTTGTCTGAACACACACCTTTAACCCTGTATCTTACAGCACTGTTACTTTCCTTTGTCTCTTTTCTGTTAGTCCCTCACCTCCCAAGGGAACAAAACCCCATGGGCCTGTACACTAAGTTAAAGCACATATTGTAATTTCTCTCTTCTTTCTTTGTGTGCACTACCACACATGATAATTTGGTTGCAATCTCTACAGGAGAAGAACTTTTGCCTATACCTTGGCTCCTTTGGTACAGAATCTGTATTTTGTCTAAGGGTACCTATGTCAGCAATTTAAGGCCACCAACATACAATCTGACCATGAGCTCTGCCTTAGATATGTTGCTTCTCCTTTATAATTACTGCTCCAAAACTCTGCTGCCATAGTGGTTTTTGTAAGTGTGGCCCATTCCACACACAGAGAAACCTCTTTAACCAATATCACCTAAAACAAATTAGGAAGCATTCATATAAACATCTCCACCGATAGTTGTGTGGAGCAGTAACATCCCATCAGTGGTGAGGAACACAAAGTTCAGTAACCTCTTCCACTGAACCAAAGGGGTCTGGAAGAGGATGTCTGTCTGAAACACTGGCATACACCAAAGTGGCTATGGTAGATATTTTTGCTTTACTTTAAAGTCATTTAGTGTATTGATTTTAATTGAGCTAGTGTAGGGTGCATGATAGGATGTAAAGATGAGCTGCAGGCTCACTGTCCTCCACCACATTTGCAGGTGCTTCACAATTTCTTAGAGCAGTATAATTTTCTTTTCACTCACTGAACAGTTTTTCAGCCTTTTTAGTCACAGAAACAAGTCATATGATTTAAGACACAACCAGCAGACTTTGTTCACCTCTTAACATGAAACACTTACCTCTGCAGTTTGCCTGTCATCCTCTTTCACAGTTCTGTTATTCTAGCAAAAAAAGGGAAGAAAGAATTGCCTTACAGGGTTATCTTTCACATCTATGCTGCAAATGTTAGATATAGATATTAGTGAATGAACTTTGAATCTCTTAATTTTTACATTGCTTGCCACATTTATTTATGAAATAAATTTAGGGATTAGTTTTTTTCGTAGATTAGGATTATATTGGATCTTCTTCTATTTTCTACACTTAACAGAACTCTATGATCTTTCAGCACTTGTTACCTCATGGATTTTTGTCTTCAGAGTAAACATTTAATAGTCCCTTGCTCTGCAGAAAAAACATATCAATAATCCAATCTTGCTGTATATAAACCAGTATTCCAAACATCCCATTTCCCTGGGGACTAAAAGGGCAGTACATACAAATATAGTACTGTAAAAACCAGGTTACTGCCCAGACTATTCAGCTCTTACCTGCCCTGGAGACAGTGACTCAATACTAGTGGTTGTGCATGCATCAGACCCTGGAAAGATACACACATAATTAGGACACATCCTGATATTCTGCTCAAAGTTTTTACCTCTATAGCATTAGCAACACATATGTGCACAGTTCCCCATAATATAGAAAGGAAAAAATTTAAAGGTCAAAAAAACTAATTTCAATGAAAAAAATATTCAAAAATATAGTAAGTGAAAGATCACTAAAGCTTCTCAAAACTCCATTATTGAATAGTTTAAAAAAATAGAACATGTTACCTTGCAGCACCACAGGAATAAAAACATAATTAAATATATATATGTAAAACTGTATTTTATATACATTCATGGGCCTTATAATATTCAAGAGTAGAGACTTAAATCTACTCTTGACTTCTCCTCAACAAATATTAATTTTTTTTTTTTGTGTGAGCTTTTATAAATTAAAGTTTGAACCTGAAAATGATTGGACTTGTTGATCTTAGAGGTCCTTTCCACCCTTACCTATTCTATGATCATTTTACCTGATGGAACTGGAAGAGTGAGAGAGTTACTCCGAGATGCTACTGGTGAAACTTTAGGACTAAGAGTAGGGGAAACTGCTTCATTAGAAAAAAGACAAAAACAACAACAAAAAAGTAACTTCACTTTCTAGGCTTGTAGCTTCTGAATTTTTAAAATTCAGGTAAGATTAAAGCATGAATATCATAGTCATCAGTCATGTGTTTTTCCAGAACCTGACAAGTAATTTTAAGTAAGTTAGGAACTTTAAGTAGGCTTTATTTTTTATACCTGCCAAAAACTAATACTATTTTGTTGATACAGAGAATCCTTGTTCTCCTCAGTTTTCTGATACTGTAAGCATTGCAGAGAAGTAGCATAAAACAGGATTCAGGTAGAATTTAGGAAAAAAAGAAAATTTAATTCTAGTAAGTGTAGCTGTGGGGGGTTTTTTCCCTCCAGAAACTTTCAAGCCAATTTTAAGATGAAAATTTGTTTGAACTGCCTTTTCAAAGCTAAATGAAAGTCCTATTTCATGGTAAAATGGCACTTTGTTCCAGTTTTCAAACACTTCATATAAGGGGAAAAAAATAATTTCAATTGACATTCTAGAACAAAACATTTTATTCTGCTGTTTTCAAAGTATGATCTGGTTCATTTAGCTTAGTTTATAACTATGTTCAGAATAAGAGTCTGTAATTATGTCTGGGGTAATGTTTTATCAGCAGTATGAATCATTAAAATTTCATTTAAGGTACAATAGGAGCATTAGGAAGAAAATACCCACAAACAGTAATTTGTGACCATTTTTTAGATTTCAATAGAAATACCTCGTGCTTTCTTGTTACAGTATTTGCAGTGTGACATTCAGGCACTTAAAAACTTCACAACGTTTTCCACTGACACATCTGAATACAGAGACCGGTCATTTCTGTTTCATATGGAATCATGAGAGGGGCAGAGGGATTCTGACCATCAAATGAACAAAATGTATGTAAACAGTAGCAATGTATGGATTACAGTAGTACTTGTCTGAAGTAGAATATACAATCCTGTTTTCAGAATCTGCACCTACCTGTGGGTGACTCCGGGAGGCTGCTCCTTGACTTTCTGCCTCTGCGCATCAGAAACCTCTCACTCACTTTCTTTGCCTCTTCTAGTAACTCAAGGTTCTTCTTCTTGTCTTCCTCTGATATTTTGACATCTGGTAGCTGATCATTTACCAGGTCAATCACGTGCCCACTGTTGTCTGTGTAGAAAACATCAGAATTAGAGCTGTACCTCCAGTTTCCAGATATACTGTGGCATGTTGGAGTAACACCTACAAATTTAGCTTTGAGCTTGCATTTAACAAACATTAATGTCTGCTCATTTCTAATGTTATATTCTCAGGGTTAGAGCAAGTCCTCCAAAACACAGATAAACCACTAAGATTAAATCCCTATGATCAAAGATGCTCTGATATGTGAAACTGCTTTTTTCAGCAGTGTCCCAAATACAGTTGTTCTAATTTCTAAATAGAAGTGGCATCAGATCCATCTCAACTAACAGTCATGGCATTTCTGTTGTAGATTGAGTCTTTTCCTGGAATTTGTATGTTCGGTTTTTCAAGGCTAAGATCCCACAAATTCACCCAGCAAAGATTTATGCACACTAGTTTTAAGAAACAGGTGATCAAATGAAATAATCTATAGCTTAAGTGCAGAGTTTGGAAGTATAAAGATTTTATTCTATGCAGACAGAAGAGCTTTCCCCACAAATGCAGAAGTAACAGTAAAGCTGCACCTGGCAAAGCTGCAGGCAGGAGCTGAGTAGTTAAAGCCCAAGAATTATAAAGCTGTTTCAAAAAGCAAATCAATCTCTACCGTGTGGTGGACCTGCAAGAATTTTCCAAAGCAAAATTCCCAAGAAAATACCCATTAGAATATCCAAGGGTTAAAGAGGGTGTTGTAAGAGATTTCTTTTCCTCATGCACATTTATGTTGATGTTAGATAAGTGACCCAGGAGGGCGCATGGAGCACAAACTGAAGGTCACTGCCTTACACTTAGGCTTTTAGGTTAATGCATTGTTTTCTAAACAATTTTAATTATTTGTAGAATGAACCCATTAATTCCTGGCTTCCAGGTTGTTTCAAAACACGAAAGTTTGAGCACCAATTTTTACAATTCTCCAGGCTATGATGAAGCAAAGAAGGCAGCCAGTTGTCGGGAAGGCAACTTTGTGAGTCGGTATAAATGGCTTTTACAAGCATCTAAAAAACAGCTTGGATGGGGGGGAGGAAAGTCACCAGGTAATATAAGAAAAACATTTTAAAATTTGACAAGAGCCATTACAGAACCACCAATCTTCAGAAAAGCTAAGGAAATGAGTAAGCAACAACAATTCAAGGGTTTTTGATTTGTGGGTGTGGGGTTGTTTCTTTATTGGGTTTTAGTTGATTTTTTGGGGGGAAGGGAGTGGTGCTTTGGCTTTAATTTCCTTAAATTTACATCAATTTCAAGGCTATCAAATATCATGCCCACAGAATGAATATTCTTAAAGCAACCTATTTTCAATGAAATATCTGTTTTGGTTTGAACCAAGATTTGTGTGTTAGAATTTTGAGAGACGGCCTATCCATGACACTTTCCCTCTGCCAGCAAAAGAGAAGATTTGCAAGACATGATAATTTCTACCTTCCTTGAGCAAGTAAGTTCAAAAGTAACAAAACCCATTATTACTGAATAGTAGTCTCTATTCAACAAGAATTTAAAGCACATACATCTCCAGCCTTCTAAAAATGTTAAGCTAATGCAGCAATCTAATAATACACATATTTCCCTGAGTCACTCTGCACGCAATTCACTTACAAAATTCAACCTGCCAGCAGCATTCCCTGTGCATGTGAGGGACACATTACATAGTGTGCACAAGAAAAAACTGTAGTCAGTACAGTCAGACTCCATGATTAGGTCCTTACTGCATGTAACATTTTCTGAGAAAACATCCCAGCTTAAATGAGTAATCTCTTCTTACCAACAGAAGTCAATGAACTTGTTGAATTCCTATTGGCACGGTTAGAATGTCTCCTATGAGGACTACGAGACCTAGAGAGAAGAATTTTAAAAAAAAAAGTCTTAATTATCTATAAAAATTTAACACTAAAAAGAAAGCACTTTGATTAAAAAAAAATTAAGACAAAAAGCATTTATTGTAGTTCCTCTCATCTCCAAACAACTGGAAAATGGAGGAGTTGCAGAAAGCAGGAAAATTGTAGAAATTGCTCTCACAAAGGAGTTCTGAAATTTGCTAATAACCTCATACACTGTGAGTTTAGATTTCCCAGAAAAAATCCTATATCTCTTTAGACCATCATCATGACTTAAAACTCATGTAAATGTGGTACATAGTGAAAAAAATTTAGTCTGTGAATTGTTACAGCTTCTTAAACTAAGTTTTAAGGCTGAAATAATTCCTCAGGCTCCCACACTGACACTCCTATAAAGTGACACACAAACCAGGCGAAAGTCTCAAAGGACTGCAGAAATTTAAATACTGATCTGGCAAATAATTTTGCTTTTAAAGGGATGCATTGCAGTTCTGACTCTAAAATAATCTTGAAGTTTGGTGAAGTACAAGCAAATTATAGATTTATAATCAATACTTTCTGATTCATTTTTTCCCCCTGTATTTTAAGTCTAATGGCAGTTCAATAAATTAAAAATCCCAGGTTAGGAAGTATGCTTTATCAGAAGAGTGGAAATAACCGTAATTCAACTTAAAACCGAATTGAAGTTTTCCACTTCAAACAGAATTATTATTTCCATTTAATAGCTTACTTTCATATATGCTTCACCTCAAGGTGGTATTCTTATCCTATCCATGTGAAAGGGCCCAAATATCTGCTTCAAAACTCATTGTATTAAATTATTAAATCTGTATTCAAGACATTTAAGTTGTCCAACTCAATGAGTCAGGTTGGCAGGCTTAGTATTATATGCAAGTCTGGTCTTTTAGTATCAATTATATTCCTGTTCCCCCACCCTGCATCCCAAACACCATCATCAAAATGCAAAGACAGTATAAGCAAATCACAAATGGAGAAATAGTAACAATACTTTCATACAATATACATTTCAAAGCAGTATTTTAGAAACACAGCACCTGGAATTACTGTACAATTTATGCATAGATGGGTAATGTATTATACAGTACCTGTTAACCAGATTTTTATCAATTTCTGAATCTGGTGTAACAGCATTCTCTGGAAGAACAATAGAAGGAGGTGTGCTGCATGTTGTCCCTTCAGCTCTAGTGTCCTGCATGGTTTGTGACAAATATAAAAATGTAGTTAAACAGAAATTCAAACCACAATATGTTGATGCTCTATGTGAAAAATAATGTGCATTGCTCAATTTGGCTAGAAGAGAAAATGACTGAACTAAGAGAGAATTAGCTCTAATTAGATAAAACAAATGTGAATTACAGGTCTATACTTAAATTACCAAAAAGAGATGAAGAAGACCTGGAATATCTGTTTCCTTTAAAAAGTTTTAATGCATGCAAGCTAAATTCACTAGGCATGGAACTAATGAGAAAGCTTCAGAATGGCAGACACACTGATTTTTCACACAGCAAACCATTCCTCTACTGAAGTAAATGTACAGCACTATAGTGAATTTATGAGCTGAATGCAGGAGTGAAAAGCAGCTCTATCTAACAGGGCTAACCTGGGCACACAAACCCTCCAAATGGTACTAGTGTGTAATGAAAGCTTGAATAAATGCAGTATTAAGTGTAGATATGATACCCAAAACATCAGAAAATAATTTTAATGTTATTTTGCTAAGAGTTGCACTTGGCTTTCCTTCACATTACTTGGAAAAATATTTTTAAAAAATATAATTGTAATATTTAATAAAATGATAATTTTTAAGCAATAAAAGAAATTGGCACTGAATATTAATGTATGCCTGCCTGCCTAAAAAATATGAGACCTTGCCCCAAGAACTTAATCCCACACCTTCTGCACAGTGATGCCAATCACTTGAAGAGAAGGAATCAGTTTCCTGTGAGATATCACAAGTGGAGGTGCCTCGGGTTGGAATAAAGTCCTGTGGATTTCTCATATGTAGTAAAAAAATGACTATGTCTACCCCAAGCACTACATTCAGATTAAAACCAATAAGCAGCTGGAGAGGAAACTTCCCATCATAACCCCTCTCCCTCTCAAAGGCAATGAAATATGCCTTGATTTGGACATAATTTAGGATTCTTGATTCTATTGTAAATAGCATATTTTTTTAACTAAACCAAAAACATGTCATGCAGCTCTACACTTCTATACTCATAATTCTCCTATGAAGTTCCTTGGCAAGTTCACCTCATCAATCACAGGAGAGCAATATGGGAAACATGTCAAGAAAACACTAGGAAGATTTAAGTTTTAGAAGAATACCCTTGTAGGACTGTAAATGTTAGAATGCTAATGCCTTTGTGATTCAAGTGCACAACTGACATTTGATGACAATACTTTGAAAGCAATATTTAGTCATATTCTCAAAAATGTTGCTAAGTAATCATATCTTTTGTCAATGACAAAACTTGACAGGGACTGCCCTGCCTGTAGGGCAAAGCAGCTGAATACACAGTCACATTGTTTATACACATCTCAGGACTGCCAAAAAGCAAAAGCTTTTGAACGACATAACATCAGCCTTGAAGTCACTCAAGTCCATTTTAGGACTCTAAAACCAGCTTATTAACAAAAAAAAAAAAGATTAAAAGAAAAGAAAAAAAAAGGAAAAGAAAAAGAAAGAAGCTGCAGCCAAGGCTAGTTCAGGTCAGGTAGAAAATATTAATCTTGGTCAGCAGCTGTAGCAGTTCAACATCTACACAAGTGAAACCTCATGGCTTCTATTGTCCAAACCTACTGTACATTCTGCAGGAGAGGGGCAGGAAGAGGGAGGGAATGACTCTCTTTGCAGGGTCAGTTGGCTCGAATCAAAAGGAATCGTTGTACTCCGAAGAGCGCTCGGGCTGCTTTATGCAGGTCTTGGAAGAGAAGCTTTAACAGGAAGCTTAGTCTGTCTCACAAAGCTGTACAACTGCACAGAGATGACACACAAGTTTTCCATCACCCTCCCATTGTGTGCCTTTAACTGTGCTCTCCTTGTTAGCTTCCAGACCAGTCTGCTCTTCAGCTATTCCCAACAGCTGCCTCGCCAGTGGCTGCCCTGCTACCCAAGTCTTTGCCTCCTTTTTGTCCCAGTCCCTCCCTCCATAAAAATGTAGGGTAAAACTGACTCCATCTCTATTGCTCAGGTGGGAACTGCTCCACAGGGGTGACCAGGTGCCACCTAGTCTTGCAGAGAGATGTGTGCAGGGCTGAGAGGGTGGCATATGCAGTTTGGTCCATAAGAGAATATCCACGAGGACCAGGATTCTGAGGGTGGAGATAGGACCTGCAGACATTCTGGCTGTTAAATTCTACCAGACCCTCACTAAGCATACAGAAAATGTGTTTCTGAAAGCTTTATAATCCAGCCAGAATTGGATGGATGTGAACATTAATGAGGGGGGAATACAAAAATACCCTCTGCTAAAAGACCTACTATGCCAGAAAAGTCAGATGATAGAGCTTTACTGTATATCACCTGAAGCCCTTAAAGCATTCAGACAAAAAAAGAAAAAAGAAAATCCTCTGCCACCTGATCATATTCTTAGATATTAATTAAAAGTCTGGATGGAATTTCAGAAAAAATCTGGCCCAAAACAGAGACTTATGTGAAAGACCTCAGAAAAGTTATGAGTCTCAGAGAGCAGTGTCTGGAGTGAGATGGGATTTTAAATAAGCTTGATTTTAAATGTTTAAATGAGGTGCTCAGCTTGGAGTTTAGCAAATAAGGTAGTATAACTGTATCTAGTTGAAACAGGAGAACAAAGCAAACATGGGACACCACCTTCAGAACAAAACAGATGACATGCAGTGGTCTGATAAAAGTACAATACAAATTTAAATAAGGATAATGAGAGATAAAAGAAATGCAGGAGTTTGAATGATGGAATAATCAGCGTATGAAAAACATTATGAACATCTGAGACAGACTTTTCCTCAGCAGTCAGAAGAGCCAGTAAAATAGTGATCAGGACACATAGAGAGCAAGCTGGAAATAGACACAGGAATTTTTGATTTAAAAAGAGGGAAAGATGACAGCTCACAATCAACCTAGAAAGTGTAGGGAGATTTATAGGCCACTATGAATTTTAACATAACTGGTAAGGATGTAATCTCTTTGATGCAGGTATGCATTACATTTATAGAAATTACATTTTTAACACTAAAAATGTGAAATGAGTTTTTAAAAGTGTCAGTGAAAGTATATTATAATATTATATTACTCTATGTGAAATAAATCTAATTAAATTTAAATTTGGAAATGATTAAAAGTTACATCTGACCATGAAGTTCTATGATTTATGGTAGTGAAAATGATTTTGTACTAAAAAAAAATCTAAAATGTTCAATACTTACTGCAACAAGACAGCACACAAACTAAGGTTGAACTAAGGGTTCAAATACATGCTCTTAATTCAGATCAGAGGTTAAAGTTCTTTGAATTAGGCTCAGTGCCCTTACACCTGTGTTAATGGGAATTTCACATCCACCTCCCTTAGGAACACAGAGCTGAGGAATGCTGTGGTGATTTTTGTTTAGAATCAGTCAGAATGGTGAACACTGGCTGCTGCAAGAAATACTGATATGGAAATCTGTATTTGTTTTTTCAAAATGAATTTGAGACACATAACCCAGGTCTTCCCATCATATGAAAGGTATTTGGAGCATGCAGGAAACAACATGTGATATAAGGTTCATTTGCTTTCTATCAGAACTGTTTTGTGAATCTGTGTGCATTTGGTCATGCAGGGAAAAGGTGGGGAAGGACCTCCTGAAACAGAATGAGGAAATTGTTAAATACCAGGCAGCACTTTGGAAAAGACGAGATTCCGGACTTGGAAAGTTTTGTTGAATGGCAGAAAACAAATCCAGCAGTTGTTGGTTGTTTCCGATGCCCTCTCCTGGCTTGCAAGTCCTTATCTCACAATAATAAACCATTTTACTTTTAGTGACTTATAGTCACACTGCAGAACTTGGTCTGCAGCAAGACCCAAGAGCGACAACAGGTATGAGCAGGATCAAATCCTCACAATGTTGGCCAGTGGCAAACCTTAATTTTAGAAGGCTTATGAGCAGTGTGTGTTTAAAATCCTTCCACTGCTACTTTGTGCCTAACAATAAACATGCATCTAAAATGGGGCATTTTGCACAGTTAACTGATTAATGAATTATCACAATATCATAGTTCATTTAAGACCCACCTCTAAAAGGCCTGTAAAATGTATTTAAAAAATAACTTTTTTTTATATTATGTGGCTAGAAATCTTCATTTCTCCCCTTCGACAAGCACGCTTAAGACTGGAATCACTGATGCCTGCTGGCTTTTCATAGTTTTTTTCCTATTTGGGTATGTTTTACCCAGCAAGTCTTTTGTACAAAAAGACTTTTCACATAGGTGAGTTAAAAAAACCCAATAAAACCTTCTTGAGCTAATATATGCTCTCAGCTAATAGTCTGATGAACTTGCATCCACCTGGGGTGTTTATCTTAAACCAGGAAACTAACACTCAGCACAATGTGCAGTTTAGATTGAATGCATGACAAATCAGTGTGGGGCTCACTGCTCACAATATTTTCCAACAATGTTAGAGCAGCGGATGTTTTCATCTAAAGTGTAGACTGTAGTGTCCTCAAACCCAATGATGGTGAGACATTTTTAACTGAGGATGTGCCAGGTTATAAATCCTCTCTTTCTTTACACCAGTTTGCATGCAATTGGATGATTTGGATAAGCTGTGATTTTCTAATCAGTACAGGTTCTTTACCTCAGCTAAGATAACGATTAAAAAAAACAAACCACCCCAGTTTATTAAAACATAAAGTTACTTTTTATCTTTGGTATAGATTATTGAAAAGGGAGAGGAGCCATCTCTTACTGATTTTTGTAATTTATCTGCAAACAAGACATGTAAAAACATATAGATGCCACAAATTAGAGAGGCAAAATGATGAATATGTCTGGGGAGCACCCACCTGCTCTCTGCACAGTTCCCATGTATGTTCAGTTACTACTGAGAAAGACTACAAACCAAAAAGCCCTCATGAATTGCATAACATCTATATCTGTAAAAGCAACACTAGTTGTTCCAAGACTACTGTGAAGTACAAGCCTAAATTATTTTCTCAAAGGTTCCAGTTTTCTGTAATCACATCAGAAAAGACATCTTTGGACAGCTTTGATATATGTCTGTCCATTCTGAACCATTTATAATCCTCCAGATCAAAATGATAAACAACTGCCTGAGCCACTTGAGTTCTCATCCCTTAGGCTATAAAATATTTGAAGAACTCTAAGAATATCAACTGAAGGATCATTCACAGCTTCATCAACCAAGCAAAACACACTAATTCAGAGCAATGATTAGATTTTGTTTTATAAACTCCCAGATATACACAAAGAGGTTTCACCCTTGGGTTTCCAACAAGAGTCAGAAAACACCTTTGTAAGAGTGCTTACTTTGGCTGGAGGAGAACTGTTGTGCTGTGCCTCTTGTGCTTGTCCCTTGTCTTCAGGTGAGGTTGGCATGGTGGGCAGCGTGAAGCACGTGGAGCTGCACTGGGCACTAACAGGACCATGCACTGCTGGCAGTGGTTGTTTCAAGTCAGCCTGAAGGCATAAGCTCTGAGAGGCCTTGTGATCTGCAGGCTGTGTTAGATGCCAAAAAGACAAACCAAATCTGTTTAAAACTCTGTGCTCTCACACTGAGATCACTTTACAATAACAAACAGCATTAAGGTTTAAAATTAAAAATGCTATCTTGTGTTTTATTAACACAAGCTTTCAAGGTCAAGTATAACCTAGCAAATGCATTCAAAACAGACAACCTTCCATTCTTGTTGCTATTTCCACCTCTTCCCTCTATTTTACTGATTTTTATTTTGTCATTATGACTGTGACCAAATTACCTTCTCTAAAAATCTTATAAGAAGTCAACAGCATCTTTGATATCACTGAATCACAGAATGGGTCAGGTTGGAAGGGACCACAGAGGGTCATCTGGTCCAACTTCCCTGCTCAAGCAGGGTCATCCTAAAGCACATGGCACAGGATTGCATCCAGATGGTTCTGGAATATCTCCAGTGAGAGAGATTCCACAATCTCTCTGGGCAACCTGTTCCAGTGCTCGGTCACCCCCACAGGAAAGAAGTTCCTCCTCATGTTCAGGTGGAAATTCCTGGGCATCAGTTTCTGCCTGTTGCCTCCTGTCCTATTGTTTGGCACCACCAAGCAGACCCTGGCTCCATCCTCTTGACAACCCCCCTTCAGATATTTATACACATTGATGATGTTCCCTCTTAGTCATCTCTTCCATACTGTGCCTTTTAGCAACTAACAAAGTCTTCAAGCTACAGAGAGTGACCTCAGATCTCAGAGGAGCAAAACTTGAACCTCAGATGGTGGCACTCTTCAATTGAGCAAGAGCAAGGTCTAGGTCAGCTGTGCAAAGACTTGGTACCTCTGCACAAGATAACAGGGAAAAAAAATTCTCTGCCTATTAGCTGAGAAAATTCTTGTCATTAGTGTCAAGGGGAGGTTCTGCATTCACAAGACAAGAGAGTTTGTATCGAGGTCTGAGCATGAGCAGCGCGAAGAACAAATCAGTTCTTACAGCAGCAGTGGGCGGATTGCAATACTTACTGCGACACCTGCCCGAGAGTTAGGGAACTGTCCTCACCAACACATCACTCACCTCGGCAACACACCACTGCACTCCCCGGCGGCGCCTGCAGGGCATCAAAGACCGCCTGGTGCACAGCTGCTGTCTGCACCGGGGCCAGCTGACTGCATCCCCTGCACAGCTCCTGTGTGCACCCGGGCCAGCTGACTGCATCCCCTGCACAGCTCCTGTGTGCACTGGGGCCAGCTGACTGCATCCCCTGCACAGCTCCTGTGTGCACTGGGGCCAGCTGACTGCATCCCCCTGCACAGCTCCTGTGTGCACTGGGGCCAGCTGACTGCATCCCCCTGCACAGCTCCTGTGTGCACTGCATCCCCCTGCACAGCTCCTGTGTGCACCAGGGCCAGCTGATTGCATCCCCCTTACAAATTCCCAGCTGAGCACACCATGGAGCAATGTACTCAAACAGTACCATAACAACTTCAGTAGTTTGCCCAGGAAATAAGTATACCCAGAAAGCACAAGTTCAACCTCCAAAAGCATGTTATCTTCTCCCAAACCAGAACTCCTGATGTCATCTCAATTCTTTTACTCTTCTGGAACTCAAGACAGATGGAATAAAGAGGTTGAGACGGGGAGATGATTTGAAGTTCAAGGCATTTAGCAGAATTCTAAGATTAACTTTCTACAGTTTTCCCTTTCATTTCAGGGGTGGGCTAAGAAATGTTTTCAGGAACATGTTGGTTTATTGAGACTGACAATCAAAATTGTCAAAATAAAGCTGTTGATCTTTAAAAAAAAAAAAGCAAAAAGAAAGAAGAGGCAGAACCATTCACAAGAATTAGTGAAGCAGTCTCAGTAGTGACAAGTTCCTCACCTCAGCTCTCACAGCAAAAAAATCTGTGTGGTAAAACCTGCAGGATGTGTGAAAACTTCGGACTGCAGAAGCAAATAAGACTGATGCTTTTATGATGTTTATTTCACATTATGTTGGAAACTTAATTTTCTCTTTTACTAGAGGAGGAATACAAGGCCACCTCACATGAAATTTCATGCAGAACTAACAGGTTATAAGAATGATCCTACACAAGCATGAGTGTGTTCAGGGAAAATAATTATTTCACTGCAGTCCTTTGATAAAGACTGTGAAAAAGATGCAGCATATACATCATCATTACAAATGAGACTGTTTTTGAACAGTGAGCATGAAGATTTCTCAGAGCAGTAAATGCTTTAGGGACAGCATGTTTCAAGCTTTTGTAAACATTTGGAACCTCTTACAGGAGAATTCCTACCTCTACTGAAGTAAGTGGAAGTTCATGTTTATATCATGATTTTACCCATCTCTGACTTCAAATAAGAGTAGAGGAAGCTTTCTCTGAATAAAATGCTTTAAAATGTTTATTATAGCAAAACATCTTTTAAGTCCCTAATACGACAGAAAACAGACATTTATGATTACATAGATTTTAATAAACCCTCAGAGATTAGACAACTGTAGCATTAAACATCTCTGTGTTTCAACAATTAAGTATCAAACAACAGTCACCAACCAGGTGACTATGAACAACACACAAAGATGAGATGGAAGCAAGGTAACTAAAAAAAAAGTGGCACAGGCTTGCTTTTCCTTTGTAGCAAAATCCTGGCATCCTATGCATTTTCTGAGTTTGCAAGAACTCAAATTCAAACAAAAACAAAAAAGAGAAGATACAAATTTGGCTGTTTATCTAATCCTTCTTCAGTGTTTGCCTTATGAATTTATACTGGTTCTGATAGATTCAACTCAACAGAATGCTGGGCCTGAAAAATCAGGAATGTTTTGAGTCATGGCCAAAGCATGTTTGCAGTCCTACATGGAATTGTATAAGCTATTGCATCAAAGTGGTTTATTCCGGGTCTTAGCTGAGTTCCCAGTGCATACTAAACTTAAAAGAAGTAATGCAAGTTATCTTGAAACAAGAAAGAGCTGTTAAGCACATCAAGTTTCAGTTCATTTTTTAGATTTAAAAAGCAAGAAAACTTTGAAAGCAGAAGAAATAAATCAGCAGGCTTGTCTAAGAATAGAAAGGGACAAATCTCGAGCTGTGTTGTCTTAGAGATACAGCACAGAAAGTACAGCCAAGGCAGAACAGAGGGGAGAAAGATGAATTTACTCCACCTTAACAACCCCCAGATTTGGAGTGGACTGAGCTCAGGCTGTCTCTGACATAGTTAGAACCTTACTCTGATTTCCTTACAGAGCTATCTTGCAAATAAGCTCCAAATCTTTGTGCTGATCAGTAGGAAAATTTCGTCCTCTGACTTTCCATTTTTTCCTAATATCTCTCCAGAAAACCCCAGTGTTGAGGACTATATTGGAACAGTGAAAGCCTGCACATAATTATTCATATTCTTAGGCTTCTTAAAACAAACACCATCTTTGCACACCTTGACTGCACTGCTGCAGTCCTGCACACTGCCAAAGTGAGGGCCATTACATATTGGTATTTCTACATAAAGATGTAGTTCAATTAATAAACTATATGACTTAGAGCTCCTGAACTATTAATTTTTTCAATCTAAAAGCTTATCTTTAACTTGTGCAGTGTTCTTAAAATCAGTAGTCCAGATCCTTTAAAGACTTTATGATGTTTAACCAGCACAAACATCATGTATTGTAAATGCAAAACGATATAATCAATGGAAACACCTCCTTGCTCCATGCTGTGCAGAGTTCTGCCATTTTGTGCATCAACTACTGCCTTCTGACACTGGTAGGAAAGGCAAAGGTTTAGAAATGATGGAACCTTAAGATATTAGTGAATAAATGTCCTTCCATCACTGCTGAAGTGACCTTATGCCCATTTGGTTGGGCAATGAAAACAGCCCCAGTAAATGTCACAGAGAGTCAAAATGTATAGAAAAAGGGGGCTTTGTGAGAACACTCTAACAAGAATTAGAGGAGCTTATCTGTGTCTCACAGATGTAGAAAGAAAAGAAAGAAATGTCCTCGGAAAATGTATTTCACTGGAAGGTACATTTTTTCTGCTGCTGAGCATCAGGGATGAGTGCAGCCTTGGAGCTTACAGAAACTCACACCTCTATTTACAAAACCAGCTCACAGCCTCCCTGAACATTGAGCCACAGTGCAGAGAGCATCACTATCCTGGTTCTAAGCCTGGCTCATCTGCCAGCTGAACAGCCTTTGGAATAATGCTACCATCAGCTTTGCCAGCTTTATCTCCTTTCCACAAGAATAAACAGGTTTCAGTCAAAGGAGGAAATGATATGCTAACAATACATGTAATGCAGTGAGGTGCCAACTGAAACAACTGTCATTATTGTCCCTGAAGACACTGAAAGGAGAGATAAAAAAGTACACCTGCATTTTAAAAATGGTCAAGGTGCATAAGCACATGTTAGCATCCCAGGCACTGAGACAATTTCAAGATTCTGTTATTTCTTTTGTTAGGCATTGATCAAACTCTATCTGGCCTATGTCCTATGAAAGGATGTCAGGACATTATTGTAGTATTTTATCAGAGTAAATGATCTCTCCCAAAACTCCATTTTTTTGAAATTGCAAGAGCTCCAAAATTACCTTTTAAAATTAAATACCAGCAGAGATTAACTCACATGTCACAGGCAGAGTGGATGTGGGTGAAGATCTACAATCTCAGTCTGCACGAGTCTTTTGCACCTATAAAATGAGTTAAAAAAAACAAACAAATGACCTACCCTAGTTACCAGATTCTGCTTATTCCCACACTAGGAGGAGACAATCTAAAGAAAAAGAAAGTAAGAAAAAGAAATAAAAGAGAGGATAGAGTGCTTTTTAACATTTTGGTCTGTTATTATAAACTTACTGCTTAAAATAGTTAGGAAAAAAATGATCCCCTGAGCTCAAATTTGTAGTCAGATATAGATCAGTGAATGCAGAGAACTTTCTTTTACCACTGTGTAGGCTTAGAGTACAATCTCCAGGAAATGGAAATCTGGGAGCTCTATTCCATAAAAGGGAAAAGTATTTAGAGGCCCTTGGCTTTCAGTGTGTTCTCTCTGCAACTCATTTTACCATAGTAGAGAAAGTTAAGTATGATCAGTTAACTTACCCTCTGTGAGTCACGGCCGAGTCCCGTGTCAGCGAAGGCTCAGATAAAGGTGCTTTACTCCATCCCCACTGATAGCTTGGCACTTGACCTCGAATGCTCTGTCACGTCACAACAAGGATATACAAAAAAGAGCAGAAATAAACACTTAAGAAAGCATTTTATTAATATATCTTGACCTCATACTGCCTGTGGTCAAGTCAAGCAACTCTCATTTGTCAACAACGGGAGCTGCGTGCTCATGAACACAGCTGAGCTGCACCAACCCTCGGTTGCTTTTTGTAGCCTTTTTCTTTGCTGTGCTGCAAAGTGGTTGTAAAACACTAACATGTTATAAAGGGATCTGTTTGCAGTCCTTTTTGTATAGCTGTAAAAGCATATGGAATTTGTGCAACATTTTGAATTATGTTTTGCAGCTTTGAAGTACTTAAAAACCACTAAACTTCCTTCCTTCAAACCAAGTGTGAGCAAAACAGGGTGATTTTCTCATTTTTTTACCATAGATTAAGTTTTCAAAGATAAAGCATGATTATAGTTTAGGATACACAAACAAAGTTTATTGGCATGCATTAGCTATCTCAAAAAATTAAACGAACCTCAACAACACAACCAAACCAAATAAACAAAACACATAAAACCAGATCCAGGGTATCTTAATAGAAATACTTTAATATTTTGCTTTAGGACTTCAACATTTTTGTGTAATAGAAATATTGACTGAAAAAGGGAAAAAACCAAACCCACAACTAAAGCTGCCCCATGTACATCCTTACTCTATGTGACAAAAGATACTACATGGAAGTTGAAAGACACTTTCTTTATTGTCTGCAGCACAGGAAAACACTGACTGTCTCCTACTACATCTCATTTTTATGACAAAAGAGTGCATTTTCATGCTAAATACTTAGGTTTGCAAGATACTAAGATCCTGCTCCAGCCAGTTTAGCAAAACACACAGTCATAGCCCCAAGGACCAATATAAGGCCTCTCTGTGATAACCTCACTGTCCTGAGTTCTGCCCAGGGCCAGACAACCGTACAAGGTAAAATCTGGAAGACAAAGTGGTGTTTCTGTTTATGAGATACAGAACAACTCCTCTGGGGCATGCAAAGTGTATGTAGCCACTATGTGAATTCAAAGCATCTGTTTTCATTCTGAGAACTACAGAGATGAATTCCTGAGCACAGAGGTTAATTCCTGAGCAACTTAAATAATACTTCCTGACTGAAGAACACTTCCAGGTTGCAGCCTCAGAGACAAGGGATAAATGTGCATAATTCTGTCACAAAGGTATTTTAAAGGAAGAAACTAACAAAAGCTTAAGGAAAATACAGCTTCTAAAAAGCATCTCTCAGATTAAGTGTGTACAGACTTCCTTGGGACTACAAGCTACACATGCAGGACTTGATTTACAGAGCACCATGACAGGAAAGAATCTCCTTGTCTGCTTCCTGTTTTCCTCATAGCTCAGGAACACATAAAACTTGATGGTTTTCAATAATGTGCTTGAATGAGAGAAAGGAAAAGTTAGGTCAGGCAGAGAGTAAAATGTTGTTTTGATGCATGTGCAGCCTGATCTGATTGGGAGCACTCAGGAGAATATCTCCAGCAATGGCTAGTTATGACACTGTTGAGACTGAAAAACAAAAGCTTTGGGGGTGAAAGGTTATGCTGGTCCATTACCAACAAGATCAACTCCTAAAACAAGGCATTTGGTCTGGTTATGCATTAAAAATTTTATATCAGAGTTTAAAGAAATCTGATAACTAACCCCAACGGAGTTTAGTGGAAAACATTTCCTGGGAGTTACGTACTTAACTCCAATAGGATCCATTCTGATCCCAACTTTAGGCTTTTCCCTGATGCATTAAAGAAAAAGGAATTGGGCCTGATTTCAGTCACAGACAATCATTTTAACACAGCTAAATGGAAATTTAAGACTTACTAAAAGATCATAACTGTATTTGAAAATAGCACTTTTTTTTCTTTTTTAAAATGCTGCCTGCCAGCTTCATTTGTTTTAGCAATGTTTTTACAATTTTGATTTTGTTAGCAGGCAGTGTTTTGATTTACTTCTCTTGCTGCAAAGTATCCAGAGGAGTGTCTTACAATCTTTCTTTTTTCTCATGATTTCTAGGCTGAGTTTTATGCTGCAGACAATCAGCAAACAGATTAAGAATGTACATATTTTAGAAACACTAAGGAACAGTATTTCACTAGCTTTATAGACTGGTAGATTCAGATTTTAAAAAAAGGTTTTTCTTTTAAGGTAAATATATTTTAGGCAGCTTGAAAGTTTCCCTATTCCACTACTTTGTTGAGGGGCAAGCAGGAGTTAACATTGAACAAATCAAACTTTAATAAATTACTCTGCTTTGGATGCAAATGTTTTATCTTCAGTTTTTGGTTTTTATTTGGAACTAAAAAGAATGTAGGGAGATGAGGTTATAAGTAGCATTACCTCCCTGTGAAAGCAAATGGTTTTAAGAATTGCATACAAGTTCACAAAAAAAATGTTCTGGTTTGCTTGTAGTGTTTATTCATTTTGGGGCTTTTCTTTGAACAAATCATCTTAAGACAGAAGTCCAATAAGGTAATTTTATCTGGTTAAGTCTATACCTAAGATACTGGACCCAGGTCTCATATGGGAAGGACAGCCAAAGGGAGCTATGGAAAACAATAGATCTGCCAGGTTCTTGGAGCAGAGGCTTCTCCCCAGTCATGCCATTCCAAGAACGTGGCACTCCCCATGTTCCACATTCCATGCTGGAGACAACAGGACAATTGTGGCAAGAGAACCAAAAGGAGGTGGCACTTCCTCATGGATTCCAGACCTGAAAGCTTTTGCCCATCTGTTCCCCCTCATTCAATGACTTGCATTCAGCACAAACTACAGTCAGGTTAAGACACATTCTCCAGAGTAAAAAACTTTTATGGCCAAAGAGAAAACAATTCATGTATCTCTCTCCTTTCCCTTTTCTTGTTATCTGCATGGCCTGGTTTTGTTTTTTTTATTGCTTTCCAAGTACCTGTGCATATTTCATAGCAAAAAGCAAAAAAGCCTCTTAAGAAAGTAGAAGAAACTGAAGTGAATATGAAGCCAAATATTCAGTCTTTCAAAACATAACAGTGGAAGCCACCTACATATTTCACTGAGCTTACTAAAGTTTTATGCTCAAATCCTTAGAGGAAGCTCTCCAACAGTGAACCAGTTAGTTGTGGTAGATCCTTTACCTCCCAGGAAATTGTCTTCCAAAGCCACATCACAAACCTCTGCTACACACAAAGAACAAAGTGCACAAGCATGCCAAGCTAGGTCATGAAACAGAGCTGCCTATCAGCTCTCACCATCCAGAAGGTTTTAGATGTGCCTCATGCATTCTAACTTTCAGCTTGTACCCCAAATATGCTTTTATAATTTCAACAATTCTTTCCCTTATTTTGTGTCAAAAAACAACCTACTCCCACAAAAAAAAAAACAAAAAAACAAACAAACCCAAAACCAAACATAAACACCTTCCCAAAGTGAAAACTCCCTGCCACTCTACAATTCATAGGTAGCTGTTTCCATAAGTTCTGTTAATTTGTGAACAGCAAATTAACAAGCAGCAGTGCTCAGCCAGATGGCCTCTAGGAAACCAGTTGGGCTGAATTTGGGGTACTTTAAAAAAGATTTTACATATATATATATATTTAATAAAAAAGGCAGTACATGTGATACTAAGGAAAAACTAATCCCTGATTTACGGAGTATTATGCACAAATTAAAGAATTCAGCCAGCAGTAGGAAATCTGATGATCAGCAGACTGTCAGATCTCAGGGCAGAATTGATATGTTTCTTAACTTGAAGATTATTTTTGATAGACTTTAAGGAAATGCAGTTTAAAGGAAGAATGTGAACGTGGAGTGGGTGGATATTTCTCATGGAGAGTAAGGATTTCTAAGCATAAGGAATAGCATATAAGAAAGTGTGAAGATAAGAGTGGGAGAACAGTACATTAAGTGTCATTCAGGAGGGTAGTTCAAAAGAAATCTAGAGCTAGGAAGTATCTAGAGAAAAAAATGTCACTGTCTTACAATGTAAAGGCAGTGACCTTAAAACAGGATAAAATGAAAAAAAAAGTTGAAAATTATACATGAGTAAAAAATGCTGCTCTCTTCTTCCTCCTAAACAACTTACTATTTGAAAAAACCACATAAATCAGTTTAGGAGGCAGCCTCAGTTTTGTTGCATGGTGCTGAACAACCCCTCTGATGCAGGACTGCTCACTGATAAATCAGCAGAAATTGTTAATGCCAGTAGCACTCACAACACCAGGAGATGATATTACCACCAAACATGCCTTTGCCTAAATGAGCATCATGTACTCAGTGACACTGAGTCAACAAACAGTCGTTTGGGTTTCTTTCTTCTCACAGATTTGGAGAACCCAAACGCAGTCCAGAAACCATGCTGTCTGGACTGCATGTATTATACATCACATTCTAGTTACACATTTATTTTTGTCTGTGGTGTAGGCAGAGTTGGGAGCTTGAGATGATATTTTCTCAAATTTCCACTTGACTATATTCTTAGTTAATGTAAAAGGAGAACAAATATGCTTGTGAGGAGGGGAGTCAGACAAGATTAAGGAAAAAAAAAATTAGTGTATTTTGGTGTAGGATCCTCCTCATTTGAGAAAAACCTTAAGAATGCTACATGAAGTAACATTTTCAAAAGCAATTTTTATATATAAACATTCTATAAACTGTTCTGTTCTCCAGGGCAGTGGGATATCGACCTTATATAATTTGGAAAAAAAACAACTACCAAAGGCCTAACTTAGAAACATAAATAAGTTGAAGGCAATTAGGGCAGAACACTATTGCTTAGTGACCCAGGAGCCTTGTTGCTAGTCAAGCAAAAAAATTTTCCAAATGAAGAAATGAAACAAAATTCTTTCTTTCCCAATCACAAAGGGTAATCCCAGAGGGCACACTTTGTTGAACAATCCAGCAATAAATAGCCTTCTCTGGCATCCCAAAATGCTATTGTGGGCTTTCAAGCAGGGAGATTATACTCTACTCTCCATCTTGCATAGATAAATAGCAAAACAAGCA